CCATCCCTCTTTGCATCAGCTCCCACTGAAATAAATAACTCAAGAACCACACAACATAAATAACAGCAGAATGGTTTGGGGGAAAAAACCATCTCTCCATCTTCTAAAAATAGCTTCCTTTTGGCTACACTGCTCCTTCATGTCTTTCCTTGAGAAAGCAGGGATGAACAGAATACTGATTGGGATTCACTGGCAGGGGCTGCCTCGGGAGCATCGTTAAGAGGCACCATTTCTCCCACAGCCTCCCAGTTTTCAGAGGGAGAGGGTATTTTCCATCTCCTTTTTCTTAAGGTTGGAGCTGTGACTACAAATTTCCTGCTCCTCTTCATCCATTTGGCTCCCAAAGCTTTCTCTACCCAAGATGTGTCTCTGCTCACTGCCTCTTGGGTTGGGAGGTTGGACAAGCTTCTGAGTTCCCATGGAAAACCCAGCACAGCCCCAGCACCCACTCTGGTCTTGCAGGGAACTTCCAACAGGACCTACAGTCACATGTGGAATGGAAGCTGCATCTAAAGGGTCTTCCACAGCCCTTCACTGGGTCATCTCTTATCTCTGTCTCACCAGTTCTTACATTTATAAGTGCAATGGTTAAATCCTGACCAGAGTTAAGCTGAGGAACACCCAAGCCTTCCTCCCTTCCATTTCCAAATCTTCATGGATCAAGTCAAACTTTCCTCACATCCTCAAGGCTGAAGTCAGGTATGGTCACACTGAGTTCACACAAATCACAGAATCAGGGAATGGTTTGAGCTGAGCAGGAACACTTCCCACTATCCCAGGCTGCTCCAAGCCCTGTCCAACCTGACCTTGGACACTCCCAGGGATGGGGCAGCCACAGTTTCTCTGGGCAACCTGTGCCAGAGCCTCACCACCCTCAAAATAAGCTCTATTCCACTGCTCCAACAGCTTCCCATGGTTTACCCCAAAGAAAAAGAGATTAGAAAAGAATTTTTCATTTTTCTCTTTTTTAATATGTACTTGATTTCAAAGGCATTTGAAGGAGACAAGACCACCCTCTCCCTCCATGGGCTGAAGCCATGCAGAGCTGTGATGCTGCTGGGACGTCACCCAGGTTTGCTTTTCAATCCAACCCCATGAGCTCCTCTGCAGGAAGACCTTGGGCAACCAAAATGCCTTATTGTCCCACACTGCCATGCTTTTTAAATTCCCTAAAACACACTGAAACGGAGGGGAAAATATCTGTGCTGCTGGAGCTGTGCAGGCTGAAGGCAGTGACAGGAGTCAAACACTGCACTGAGCACACACTTACAGCCAAATAAATGGAGAAAAGGTCAAATCAAAGACTATCCCCATTCGAGGTTTATTTCAGGACCCCTTCTAACACTACTAGGGGAGCCACAACCCTTTCAGAAACAAGCTGTTCCTGCTATTGCTGGCTTTGGACAAAAAGCACACTGCTGCTAACCTCTTACATAAAGTGAGCACACAAACAGCTGAAACACTGACCCCACATGGCCTTTTCCCTGGGATTTGTGGGTTTGCACAAAGAAGCCAACATTTTACATGCAGCCCTCGATGGAGCCTGGAATTGTGCAGAAACACTGCTTGGAGTGCACACTCTTAACCCAGTTGTTTGTGTACGATGTTCCTCCTCTCTGATGCCAAACACTGGGGGTCTCTGGGTTATTTTCTATTTTTATTTGGGTTTTTTTTTAAAGCTGCTTGGTCATGCACAACTTTGAATCCCTGTGTACACCTTCACTGCCACTAATATTGCCATATAATGCAAGCCTGCAGTCAGGGATGATTCTCTTTGTTAGGGTCTATCCTTTCTTTCTCAGCTGAGCACTCAGAGCTCACTAGATACGAGCTCCAAAACTATTAAACACTTCTTGGCTGTGATTTCTTTGTGCAGGCAGAGATATATATCAGGTTTATTTTATGAGTGGGAGATATTTAGCAAGAGCAGTTGACTCAGTCTGCGCTTTGAGTAAACAATTCTCTTCATCCTTACTTGCAAATTGATTGATTTAAGACTTTTGTCAATTGGCAACAGAAATAAAACATCCATAAGGAAGTGCCACTTGCTTTTGAATGGAGAAAAACCTCAGGCACGAGGTGAAGCAGCACTTTTCCATTCAGGCAGAGGCTGCACTGACTTACACTGGGATTTGTTGGGCAGGGTATCCAGCTCTGCCTCCACGAGATCCATGAAAACCACTCAAACACCACAGGAAAAGCTGGAGCAGAATATTCAAGGCCCACCCACCCCCTGCTACCAACACATGGATGTTTAAATCCCCCCCCCAGGAACCGAGTCTTGCACCTCTGAGGATGAGAAAGTGCAAGTGATCCGACAGCCCCGGCGGTGTCTGTGCACAGGGCAAGGACGAACCACTACAATACCCGAATTCAACAGCAACAAAACAGCATTGAGGCACCACAGCCAGCACAAAAATCCCCATTGTACAGTGGGGTTCCAGCCATTCCAGCCCTGAGCTGCTACAAACTCCAGCCTATCCCACTCCCTACTCCTCAGCTGGGCTAAATCCAACCTTCGCGTCCCTGTTTTAATTCAAAGACATATTAATTGTTGTGAAGGCACAAAGTATTACCTGGAATAACACTTGAAATGCAAATTAAGGGCTGTGTAAAATTATTGCAGCACAAGAGGACCGTGGTTTATTAGCAGCAGATTTGCAAGGTTAATTTTCAATTATGTATTTCTTATTAGTTTTCTAGCTGTCTTGCTATTATTAAATTTAAAGAGGAAGATACTTCCAGTGTGTCCAGCTTCTGTGGCATTATTACTGATAATTATTCCTATTTTCCAATTTGTGTTACTCTCATGTCTTGCAAAATTTGTAATTAATGAGCAAATAATTACAGCAGCACTTACTAGAGCTGCTTTGGTTAAAGCTGTGTCAGCTTTTGTATTAGGATCCCCATTTTTCAAGGGTTTATAACTCAAGCATAAAAATTCACTCTGGGCAGAGCCTTGTCATAAGAGCTGTCTGCTGAGCATGATTTTTTGGTTTTAAGTGTTTCTAAGCAGCATTATCTCTTCTTATTTTCCTTTTTTTTTTTTTTTTTTTTTAAGTTATGGACATTTAAAAATATCTTAAAGCTTCCAGGGGCATTGAGTTTACAGCGCTCTGTGTTCCAGCATCTCCAAAATCAAGACATTTTATTTTAAGGTGAAGGCATTCACCTTTACAAATATGAAGCGAGATGCCTCGGCATCTCCACAGAGCAGAACAGGGTTTTTTAATGCCTGGTGGTCATTAGCTTTACAAAAATAGCACAGAAGAGAGCTTGACATTCAGGGATGTTTGTGCTGCTCCCACCCAGCTGAGCATTCATGCCCAGCCCCAATTAAGGCACACGAGTGGTCCTCAGGAGTCAACAGGCCCGGCCAGGCTCTCTGGGATGCACAAACATTCCCTGCCCCGATTCAGCACAACAAAGACTTGCTTTTGACTCCAGTTTGAGGCTGTCCCTGCTCACTGCAAGCTGCTGTCCACGCTCTGGGGAAAGCTGAGTATCACAGGGGATCAGTTCTCCAGGCTGAGGACCTGGAGGGCTTAAACAGCTCAGCACCTTCTCAAGGAGGGGCTCAGCATCACACGTGGTCTTGTCTGGTGCCAGCATAAAATTTAGCACAAAACTGGTGCTTCTTTTGTTGTCTGGAAGAGGAAACCCAAAGGGGAAAAGCAGCAGATCCCAAATCACCGGGTGATTGTGGCTGGTGCCACGAAATAACACTGGAGTGATGGTTCTAGAACAAACATTCTGCAAAATTTAGGCTCTACTGCAGAGCTCAGCACAGCTGACTCCTCTAAACATCCAGAAAACACCGGACACATCCCATCATCACTGCATTCCTTCTCCTCAAAAAGCCTTGGAGCAGCCACACAGCCTCTGTTAGAATCCTAAAGGTTACAAGAGACCTCCAAGACCATCAGGTCACTCTTGGAACTGTTTGACCTTAACACTGAGCTTAATTAAAGCAAGACCACTGTAACTCAGCAAACAGGGAACAGCAACAAGTCAGCAGGGCTGTGCGTATCAGCTTTTCTCAGCTTAACTTTGAAGTGTAGGGTGGATTAAGACACTTCCAGCAGCAAACCAACAGCAAAAATTCCCACCAAAACCCCACTTTTACTGGGAAACACAGTCAGAGATGAGATAAAACCAGAGAATGATGAAGCCTACCTGTATCAGCCACAGCCAGTCACAGAAAGCAAGGCTGATCCTCTTCAAAATTCAGGCAACTTGTTCCTTAAGGCTCCTCATGAGGAAGGGAGCTTGCTGCCTCCCTGCACCTTTTATTTACCTTGCCTTGACTACCATCACCTGAGGTTTTTCACACCCTCATTTGGTCTAATTATCTCCACCTGTTTGAGTTCATTGCTAATGAGTGGAACCCATTTTTAAATCTATTTTCAGCCCCGAGCCAAGGCACCAGCACCTTTTACCACAGGTGCTGAGGGGACAACAGTGTCCCTTCTTCTGGTGCCACTCTTGTAGCCAAGCCATATTTTGTAAACCCAAACATCATCAGCAAACCCACCAAACATTTGCAAACCTCACTTCTGTGTTCCAAGAAGGCTGATATCTTTATTTTTGCACACATGCAGAGCCTGGTCCAACCATGGCTGATGTTGCATAAACAATATAATAAATATAATAAACCCCTACCATAGAAACCAACTGCTTTTCCTCATTTTAGGGGCCTGTTTATCCTTCAGGTGAAATATTTTCTCTTATGTGAGTTCCCCCAGTTAAGATTAGTTGGCAAAATGGGCTCGGAGGAACCTACATGTGCTGATATTCCCTGGTTTCTGATGGCTTCCCAGTTTGGCTGTAACCATGGTGCTGCTGGATTTCTCATGGCTGCATGGCACAATGTGTATCTCATTATTCCTGGCAGCTTTGGGTAGCTTTTATGTAGCTGTAAAAATAATTTACATTTCTCGAGCATCTGAAATAAAGATAAAATAGAACTATGACACCGAGAGCTGGAGGTTTGATGCAAATTTATTTATAAATATAAATCACATTTAGAATGCAAAATTACACAAATGTCTTCTACAAATTGCCCATATCATAAAGAAATGATATCTTTCCTTTTTTAAGGATTGTGCCTTAACATATTATCTATATATTAGTGCTGTGAATGGAAACTCAGGAGAAAATCCAGAGTGAAATCCTGGGCTGCTGATGAGATCAGTTACATGACAAGGAATTTTTTCCTTCCTGTATCACTGACTTGAAATTGCTCCACCTCACCTCCACCAGCTGCTCCCAGCCCGGGATGAAAATCCCGCCCCTCTGAAGTCACTTGGCTGCCAAGGGATGTCCAGGAATCACAGTGACATCACAAATCCATCTCACAGTGCTCCTGTGCCCACATCACACACCCCCCAAAAACCTAGGCTAGAAGTTCTGTTATTCAAGTATTCCAGAATAAAAATCCCTGGGAAAGCCCAACTACTTGTATCTAATTCTTATAATCCCAAACATCATAATTCCAGGGGTTTCACTGGTTTTTTGGGATTCAGAATGGTATAAAGTGTATTTTTGTGAGGTACAGGTGATGGGGCTTTCCTGGCTATAGAGCTCCTCTGAGACAATAAAATAACTTATAGTAGTCCTTTGGATTTCAAAACAAGCACAGATTTTAAATACAAATAAGTCTTCATCAAATCACTTTTACAAATTTTGATAATTTCTCTCTGCTCTAATCTCAGGTTTTTCCTTTCAGTCACTTCTGGGGCTTGGCTATTTTAACATTGGCTCCTCCAACACAAGATCTCTGCTCTAGGAAAAAACTGAGTGGTTGTTTTCTGGACATTCCAATAAATAATCCATATGAGGTCTCAGTTTTGATGAACAATTTTAGCATAACGTTTCTTCTACTTGATGGGAGTGACGTCCAAACCATCTCAGAAGTCTCCAAGCTGCCAATCCTTCTGCCACGTGGAATTCTCCACTGAACAATCCTATTCCCATTGCACTTTATCCCCTCAAAAAGGGGGAGAACTGTTTCCTAAGGGAAAAAATAAGGTGGAAAAATATTACCTGCCAAAACCCTCCTCTTTTTTCAATTCTCCTTCCACATTGAGGTTAAATGCAACTCTGAAATCAAAAGGAACACAGAAAATGACTTTTCCTTCAGTCAGAACAGTTCCACAGGGTATTTGTTCCCCTGAGCCTCTGTAATTCACACCATTAAATCACAGAATCATTAAGTTGGGAAAGACCTCCAAGATCATCAAATCCAGCCTTCAGCTGAATGTCCACTAAACCCTGTCCCCAACATTTCTGAGCCTCTGCTCTTTATTTTACCTGTAAAAGCATCCAGCTGCATTTTGCTATGTCATTTTTGTTATAATTCCACCTTCTGAGAAACTGCAGAGGGAAGAAACTCTAGGATTACAATTAAAGAATTCATAAAATGATCCTCTGGAATTTACCAGCTTAGAAACTTTCTGTCAGTGTTTTTAACCATCCCACAAAATTCCTTAAAAACCCCATAATTTTTGGTTCAGTGTCATGAGCAACCTATAACTCAAGCAAAGTAGATATTCTGGTGGGTGAACACCGAGAACATGTTTCTATTTTTATACATTTAGTTTATCAGAAGGACAGGACATTTTTCTAGCCAAGTGTTTATTCATCAACATACTCAGAAGGTGCCACGGTGTTGTGGGCAGAAAAAAGTCGTATTCCCTGAAATCCCATTAATCTGGGCATTTGGAGGGCACAAACATCTACTCCAAAGAGCAGGAGAGTGATGGCTGTGGATGCTCAGCTTTGCATCCTGGCTGGGACTGGACCAACCTCATCTGTCAGGGCATTGGAAGGATGGAGAAATCAAAAAGAAAAAGGAAAAAAAGAAGGTGAACAAATGACAAAAGTCCTAATTAAGGAGAGCCAAGTTAACTGGAGACTGGTTTAACGAATGTAGAGTAGTTCTACACCTCAGGAGGGAATTGTGCTGCTACAACCTCAGGCAGGGCCTGAGCATTTCAGTGCTCCAGTCCCACGGCAGACAATTGGATTTAAGCTCCTGTTTAAGGACAAGGCTGAGCTGGGATGGTTTGCGAGATCTCTATAAAAGCACAACCTTCCATTCTCCCAAACCATATGGGTTTGACTTCCCATATGGAGTGACAAAATAAAAATATAGTCTAAAAATAGCTCTCAAAAAAAGTGCACTGGCTGAAGGCTGTTTCCTGTGCCACAATTTGATTAGCCTCGTGTTTTATTTCTTCGGCAGCGATTTCAATTTATCTCTGATTTGGAGCATGAAAAGCTGCTTTTATAGTTGCAAGCAGAGGAGAAAAAGGCATCCGGGAAGCAAATATAGAGAGCTCTTCTGGCTTTACAGGAGCTGCAGGAACAAGCAGAATGATTTTAGAGCAGCAGCAAACAAAGTGGTGCCGGGAGATGATCTATCCTTGCAATCTGTATTTAAGTTCGCTGTCAGCCCCTGCGAGAGCGCAGAGCATTAAAAATTCCGTGCAGCTCCACAAAGTAACCTAAAGGAGCCAAAAATTGTCAGAGCAGAAATCCCCTGTGCAGAGGGATCTGTGCCAGCACGGCTCCCACCCTGCCCGGCGCCGCGGCCGAGCGGCTCCCTGACAGCTCCTTCTGGCCACCAAAGAGGAGCTGGAGGAGCCGCTCCTGCGGCGTTGATGGATGGTACGGAACACAAACATTCCCATTTGGGCTCTGCTGGAAGGTGCCTTCGTGAAAATCATGGATTTGTTTAGGGTTTTTTTTTTTAAGGGGGGAAAAAAATAACTCCCAGCCGCGCCTCAAACCCCGCGTTCGGTGTCGGGCTCCTCACGACAAGGAGGACTTTGAGGGGTTGGAGGATGCCCAAGGAAGGGAATGGAGCTGGGGAAGGGGCTGGAGCAGCAGGAGCAGCTGAGGGGGCTCAGCCTGGCTCAGGGAGGCCCTTCTCACTCTCTGCAACCCCCTGACAGGAGGGTGTTTTCAGCTGGGGGTTGGTCTCTTCTCCCAGATAACAAGTGACAGGATGAGATGAAATGGCCTCAAGTTGACCAAGGGAGGTTCAGATTGTATATTAGGAAAATTTCATCACAGAAGGGGTTGTCGAGGCCTGGCACAGGCTGCCCAGAGCAGAAGTGAAATCACCATCCCTGGAAGTGTTCAAAAACTGTAATTCCCAGGAATTACTGTTCCCCTCCCACTGCTGGCATTGGACAACAGCTGGGGAACTGCACCATGGCATGAACACATCAGCATTCCTCAACAGCAGCTGCACCTGGACTAGACATCCCATGCAGGTCTTGTGTGCTTGGTTTGAGACTGACACAAGGCAGCTCAACGAGGATCCTTCCTTTGGGATCTGCTCTGAACTCCTGTGGCTCCAGAAGTCACCACAGATTCCTGGGCTTTTTGGTCCCTGCTTTGTGTTGCTGCCTGAGGCTGGAGACCAGGATTTAACCCCCACCCCTGCTCCAGTGGCCACATGAGCACAGGCAGCTGTCCTTTATTTCTCTGGTCTTGCAGCTCTGCCCAAACCTCACCCACCTGTGACACCTGAGACCCCACAGGGGGTAACTGTCCATTACAGAGAGATATTTCTCATCATTTTTGTCTTTGGCCAAAATGAGTAAAGAAACAGATAGATGGCAGATAGACAGTGGAAAAAATTCATGTTCAATTTGCCAGGACGAGGGAGAAAGTCACGTCTTGCTTCTCCAGCGTTTCAGTTTTCCCACACCATGAGTCTGCCTGGCTTTATGCAAATAAGTGTGGGTTTCCTGCAGGCTCTGACATGACTTTAATAGCACAAACGCTGGGACAGTTTGTGTCCTCTTTCTGCATTAATATTTGTTGCTGTGGATGCAAAACTAAGAAATAATGGTGTTTACAAGCAAACAGTGCCCCTCTGCTTGGCACCAGAGGGGACAGCGAGCACTGGTGGTGTAAGGAAGAACAAGTCCTGGCTCTGGTTCAGCCCAGAAGGAATGAGCAACCAGCAAAGGGCTAATCCATCCCTTGGGCAGGAATCTGGAGTGAGAAAAAACAGCCAGACCAATGGACAGGACCCTGCTCTGGGCACTGGTCAGGGTTTGGACGCACATCTCCACAGCCCAGACTCTGTCAGACTGGGGGAGAAAGTTCTTCTATTTGATAATTCTCTCTCTTTCACCATTTCCTAAAGCTCTAGGAATGACTTTTCCAATTCGAGCAAAAGCTCTACATTTCCCCTCAAAAGTGATTTTTACAAGATCTAACAAATATTAAAATCCTAAGAGGGAAAATAAAAGATATCTAGAGTGGGAAGGGGCTGAGCTGCAAAAGCTTTGGAAGAGAAAAGATTAGAAACCAACAAACCAGCTTTTCTCTAAAGAATTTAGAGAGAGGGGAAAAAAAAAAGAAAACACTTTGGAAACAATTATTTACAAAGTTCAAAATATTTGGTACCCCTTGCCTTGGTAAGATAAGGGGCAACAAATAACATCCACAGTCATGAGGAGTTGGCCCAATCACTTCTGTCAGCAAATCTAATTTTACAAAACATATTTCTGCTCGGAAGAACACTTTCCTTACTTCAAATTCCTTTTTACATTGCTAATAAGTCTCTTAGCAGTAGATTAGAAGAGGCTCTTCAGCCAGGAACAGGCGGATGGCCCTGAGCGCAGCCAGAGGTCTCTTCTCCGGAAAAACATGATTGAAGCCGAGGAGAATTTCGCCTGAGGAGGTTCCCTGCAGGTGTTTGGTCCCGTGTCTGTAACCTGTGTTGTTACAGAAACTGTTAATGATTAGGATTATTGCACTTACAGCCTCCAGAAACGTGACCTAGCACTGTTCTGACTCTTCTCCCTCCCCTGACACGTGGAAATCAAGAGGGGGGTTTTAGGGTTCCGTGCCCAGAGTGCAGAGCAGATCCCACTGCCTGACAACCTGTGCCAGGCTCACAAACCTTCCAAATGTGTCCAGAATGATCCCAAACCTGCGGGAAACATCCCAAACCTGCCCCCTGCTGAGCCAGGTAAACCCTTCAAGGCAATGTAAGTTCAGAAGGATTTAATTTCAGTTAAAAAAAAAAAAAAAAAAAAGGATGGAAGAGAGATGAAGATGATCAAGGCCAGCCCCCTCCGGGTGGCACCGATGGGTCCCACTTTCCCCAGCTCCAGGTGTGGCATTTTTTCCTGAGGAGATGCTGAAGAGCCCGTGGCTGTGCTCTCTGCAGGGGAACAGCAGGAGCTGCACTGAGGCAGGAAGATGAGCAGTAGATACAGGAGACAGAGAATTAAAACTTCTTGACACATCACAGGAACAATCTGGGGAAAAAAAAAAAAAAAAAAAAAAGTAGTCTCTTTGTGGATAAATACGATTTTATCAACTCTGCTGAAGGAAGCCAGAAGCCTCAGGCTGCCCTTGGCACCTCACCTGCACCTGGAAAATAAATACAGGGTCTTAATTCCCCCAAAGAAATGCTCACTTATGCAAAGAAAATAATGGAGAAAAGGATCAGCTTCCAGCTTTTCTGGACAACTCTGATTTGTGCCTGGGCACCTCACTGAAGAACAGAGATTGGAGATGCCCTTGGCCATCCCAGACGTTATAAAAAAAGCATCTGAATCTAACTCCTGTGCACAGAAAATGGGCTAAATTCATTAAATCAAATTACTCCGTTTTAGTTCCTCTCTTTCCTCGATTTTTTTTGTTTCAAAGGCTTTGTGGCAGTTAATGTCAAAGAGCTAAGTAAATATTTTCTTGTGCTGTGTGGCAGATGATGTCAGGCAGCGATGGGAGTGAAATACTGACTTTGTACAACTGTTTGTACCTCTGATAGGATTGACTCATATTGGGAGATTATAGAAACTGCACTCTGTGATTATGTACCCCCCTAGAGGCCCCATGGAGGTGAGATTATGCAACTCACACTGTTATTTTACCAGGGGAAAAAAAAAATGGACTAAGTAAATAAAAAAGCTGCAGGATGTGACTTCATCGTGCACTGTTGACACCTGCTCGTATGATTTAAAGGGTGTTACTAAGAATATCAGAGCTGCTAATGTAAATGATGAAGAAATCAGAGGTCAATCATATAATAATAAATATTAACATAGGTTTCCCAAGGCCAGAAGTGCCTGAAATGGTAATTGGGATTATGATTTTGCTCTTGAGTTATGTGCTACTGAAAATACTTCGGTCGCTGCTGCTTTCCTGGAACTGCTCCATTAAAGCCAAACACAGACACTCTCCAATCCTTCTTAATCCAAGAAATAACGCCAGCTTTTCCTAAGGATGCTTTTTCTTTCGTGTGGGCACCCACCTCACCTTGTGCATGAAGTTGTTGTGTTAGAGGGAGGTGCTGGGCTGCAGGGACGTGGTTCCTACAGCTCCAGGTGCTGCTCTGAGGCTGCAGCCCCTCAGCTCTGTCCTCCGTGTTGGATATCCCAGGGTAAGGTAGAAAAACAGGAAAAATTCCTGTTTAACTGCACTGCAGGCACAAAGGAAGCATCTCGACCCTCCTCAAGCACAAGCCACTTCCCTATGGGACACCAGAATAAAGTGCTCTCAAAATGCATTAATGCAATAGGCAACAGATTAAATTTGATGAAGGGCTGGTCCAAACAATGTGGTTTCAATTGACAAAATACCTGCAGCTCACAGTACTATTTACAGCACCACTGAATTACCTTGGACACACAGAAGACACCAAAAAAATGCGGCTACAGCTTTAGAATAATTCATTTAGGAGTTATCTGGCAACACCTTGTGCAGCAAAAGATCAGCCCAGCAGCCAGGCTGGTGCTGAGGGGAAAATTCCAGAGGGTGAGGGGCTGGCAGTGCCTTTAAAGTCATTCTTCACCTGCTTCCCCACCTCCTCCATCCCTCCCTGCAATGAATTCATCCCAGAGGGGTCTCAAAGTCAGAAGCTGCTGCATGAAAGTACTTTCAGTAATGGGAGTTGCTGGGTGCTGACTGTGGTACCTGGGGATTCCTGGCAGCCGCTGAGCACAGCTTGGCAAGTGCTGCTAAATCAGATTTTTACAGGGGAAAAAAAATAAACCCTGTCTAATCCTGTAATGCTGCCTGAATATTGTTGGGCTGTTTGCCTTTAATGCCTCTAACTCCTTGCTGATGGGCAGCTCACAGGAGTCATGTTTGAGCTGGTGTCTGATGCTGGAGCGCTCCGTGCAGAGAAATCCGGATCCGCCACGAGGTGTTCCAGCACGGTTACACAAAAGTCTAAAATTAGGTCATAAATTATATAATCCTGCAAGGAAACAACGAATTTAATGACTATGCCAAACCAGAGATAAAAGCTGAGGAAGGAAATAGCATCTTGCTCATTAAATATTAAGGATCAGATCCTTCAAACATTTTTCCAGTGATGAACTCTGTGGGAGTTTGGCATCTGTATTTGTGTGTGTTCTATAGAATGTGCTTATACATCATATACAAGAGCTGGATGTGATTTATGGAGCACACACACATAGTAAGTATATTTATAATGCATAAATACACTCCATCAAGAGCAGAGAAGGTGATTAGTGAGAGTTTCCTAAGAGGTTTAATCAGATATTTTGATGGCTTGTTTCCAGTGTTCCTCCAAAAGCATTTTTCATCACAGGGCACTGGGAAGGAGCAGGTAGAGGCACCTCCCTTCACACTTACAGCAGCAGCAGCAATCACAGATCAGCTCTGCATCCTCGGTGGCATTGAAAAACCCTGGAAAATAAGAGAGATGACCAAGATATAACAATGGATTTGAAAATTCCCTGCAACCTCTGAATCCCTCCCCTAACGCTGCTGTGCCCCAGCCTTTCTTCGAACCTTTCACGAGGCAGATCTGGTTTGATCTGTTTGAAATAACACAGGGCCAGGGTCTTGTGCATATTCCCTGAAAAGTTTGAGGTGATTCCCTGGGACTGATGGCTGTGCTGATGTCCTGAGTATGTTAATGAGAGGGAATTGGGAATCTCTGATGGAAAAAGGCAGATAGTGCTCCAGTCCTTGCTGTCGTGAAAGCCTCTCTGATAACCATGTCCTTTTCTTCAAAGATTGGAGTCATCTGTGGATTGACTATATAATCCTTGTGCTGAAGCCTGGGAAAACTGCTGTTGATGCCCTTGGCAAGTTCTTAGCCTAAAAAAGCATGAAAAAGAGGACCAAGTAATTTCAATTCCATAAAATACATTAAATGCAGCACACAGGTATGTAAATGGGAAACTCCATAACTGTAATTTGCCCATTTAGAGCCTGATCTAAAGGCTATAAAAGTTAATTTGAAATCTTTTCATTGATTTTAATGGCCTTTAGATCAGGCCCATATTATTCACTGCATATCATGTTTGTTTCAGTGCAATAGTGTATTTATGTAAAATGTGAATTATGTGGATTATAACACAGAGCTCCTGCTTATTGTGCAAGGGCAAAGCTTCTGAAATTATTGGCTTTAACAACACACATAAAATATATATTTTAAAAAAATCAAAATAAAGTCCCAAATAACGATTAGACTTTTAAAAAGCGAGATTAAAAAAAATGAGGAGGCCTTCTTTTCGTTATATACTAATACAACCTAAATGTATTTTAAGCATCATGAAATCCAAATGGAATTTCTCACAATTCTTCATTTCCGACTGCAGTGGTGCAACAGAAAAAATTACATGTAAATGATTCAAAACCTCTTGAAGAAAGAGCTTTTTTTTTTTTTTTTTTTTTCCTAATTTGGGGAGAAAAAAAAAAAAAAAAAAAAAGGTTTCAACCCAAGCTCAGCAAGGGATAACAGCATTACAGTCTGTGCACAGAGAATTTAGCCCCTCATAATTCTAAATCCTTCTCAAACGCTTTATTGCTATAAGGTGGCTCATACCAGTCTCTACACAACAGGACTCCCATAGCATTAACCATGAGAGATAGGCTTCCAGAAAGAAACTATAGCAAAGTAATTGTAAATCTCTAATGATGCATAAAAGCAAGCTGAATTGGTCCTGAATTCTCAGCATAAAAGAAATGAACCATCAGAAGAACCAATTCTGGTGGCAGTATAACACAGCCCAGTGTGGGAACTGTTTATGGGGTTTGCTGCAGTGGAAATATTCCTGCTAATATGCAAGTGATAGGAATTCATTAAAAATGCCCCAATGCTGCAAGATCTTGTGATGCCACGTGTGACATTCAAAACAACTCGTTAGCCAAAAAGAAAACCTCCTCTGTACCAGAATAGTTCCCTGTCTGTCTGTCACAGTCACTGCCACATTTCTGTACCATAAATTTGGTGGGTTCTGCCAGGTTTTAAACCCACCCTGCAAGATTTCCAGGTTTTGTGCACTGGGGGGGGGTTCAGCTGCACCAGGCTGGGCTTTGTTGGAACTGTCCCTACCAAGGCATCCCCAGGGACAGCGTGGACAGAGCAGACTGAAGCCTCATCCCCCTCCCCTGCTGTGACACCTGGGATGGGACTTCCAGTGATGGCCTTCAAGGGGACATGACCATAGACAGTCAGGACAGGGCTGTCCCTGCTGCTGTGCCAACAGAAACCCAAAGCCTCCTGTTTCCTTAGACAGTTTAGTCAATTCCTGCTGGATAAGCAACCGATAAAATATTTTAAATTATACCATTTAATTAATTAATTATGCCATCCACAAACTCCACTAACGAACCAGGCTCACTCCAGAGCCCTCAATGCACAAACCTGGATCATCACCCACTAATCCAAGACAACTTGCTTTAGAAGCAGATCAGATGGAGAGTCTGAGAGAGCAGAAACCCCCTTCCCCATGCCCAAACCAGAGGTCCCACACGTGTCCCCACCCACACAGCCTCACCCAGCAGCTCCAGCGGGGCCACAAACACGATTTTTTGAGCTGAGAATCCGGTCGTGCTTCGTGTCTAGGAGATCTCTGGCTCTTTTTTCCACGCTGCCAAGAGGTGTTGCAGGGCATGCTGCTTTTCCAGCACCAGGGCATCTGTCCACTGAGAACTAGATTGACAAGGCTGAAATGGTTGGGTTTGTCTGCTTGATCATTTCACAACTCTTCGAGCCAGACATCTGAGAGCTCGGCTGCATCATTGCACCGTGTCAACACTGGTGGAGGCACAGATTTGAAATCTGCATACGTGGACAAAAAGAGGGTGGATCTGAAATTAATTAACATTTCCAGGCACTACCTAGAGAAATATTTACCCATAATAAGCATGCATCAAGGAATGTCACATTTACTGCACGGTTTTTAGTGAAGCTGCAGTTTTCGAGACTCGTATGTTGGGACTCCAAGGTTTAGCAATAACTTCTCAATTTATAAAAGCATTTTAAAGAACTCTCTTACCAAAAAGAAAAAGAAAATATCACTGATTTAAAGTCAAATTAAAATGAAACGAAATGCAAGTGGCACACTGGGGTTTTCTGTGCTTGCAGTTGGCATCTATCTGCACCACACAGTACATGTGAGTTATAAAACATCCCATAACTATGTATAGGTGCTACAGCCTTATCTATAACCCCCATGGAAATTATGGGAAGAAAAGGTAAACAATTTCACAAGGGATTAAAAAATAATAGTAAAAAATGCATTGGTCTCACTCTGATTTGACTGTGGTTAATGAAACAAGGGGAGAAACAAAGTTTTTTGTTAAGTATCCTCCTCATACATATATATAAAAATAAAGGAATGGGGAAACTGAGGAAAGAGGGATGAAAGAAATTACCTAATTCACACTGCTAAAAACTTCCTTCACACTGGTGAGGTGCTGGCACTGTGACCATCTCTTATTTCCCTGGGATTTAGGGCTCCTACCCTGTGACCAATTCAGAGCTGCTAATTTTGGAAATAAAAGTCCAACCTACTGGACCCATTGTCCCAGGGATCTCACAGCAGGAACCGCTCTCCAAGGTGCTCCATCCGACAATTCTATATTCCAAGGTACCTCCATTTTTCCCAATCAAATCAGAGCAACTCTAATTAAATATAAACAAGAAGCTAAAGTGAGATGAATGGTTTATAGGTGCTTCATCCTTCCCTGCATTGATGAACAGATAAAGAATTCCCCCCTCCACCGACTCAGCTGACAAACCCTGCTGTAATTATTCCTTGTACACGATGATCTGCAAGCACAGTCGCTCTGGCAGGGACGCTCCAGCTCCCTCTACACATATTTTGTGCTGGTTGGCTGCACCCACCAGGTATTTACATTCCACAAATCTTGTCTCCCCATTCAAAGTTTCTCAACACGGTTTTCCTTTGAAATCAAAGCAGCAGTGGTCACCCCTGCGTGGAATGCCATTCTTTGTGAGCCAGGTTTGCAGTGTGGGCAGAGTCCCCGGACTCTGCTAATTCCTGGTGCCCAAAGAACTGCTCTGTGAGTTTTATTTTTCCTTTTGTTTTCCCTGATGTTGTCACTCTGCTCTGTAAGTGAGCAGCAAATACAATTTTCTTTCACACATGGATGAAATTTGGTTAAAACTGTGCCTTTGCCACCTCAAAATCAACGTCAAAGTTGCTGCAGAAGGTGCCTGACCACCTGTAAAGCAGAGCACTACAAGAGGACACTGCAGGGGCTGCACCAGATATTTTCTAGACACCTTGGACCAGATAGAGCCACACAGACATGGGCTCCAACTTCTGGAGGATGCACTGATTGAGCTTATTTTTAAGTTTACTCTTAGAATAATGCAGTTATTAGAGTATGACCCAGCAGCTGGTAAGAGATGCATCTTAGTCTCATCCATTGATTAGTCCACAGTTCAAGTTTTGCAAGGGGCATCCAGCCCTTGAGACGGATATCCCTATGCTGGAAAAACCAGAAATCAATAAATCTACTCAGAAAAACATAATTTCATTTTGCTTCTTAACCACAAATTGAGATACACACATTTCCCCCCCTCCTTGCTCTTCTCTGACTTAAATATATCCCGTGTTATGTAAGTAATTGTTTTGAACCCACTCTAGGACACAGTCAGAGACATGACTCCAATAACACATTATCAGTAAAACAAAGCAAAACAGTTTCATGGCCCTGCTGGGTTTGTATATACACTCTTAAATGAGCAGATTGTCTCGTTATCCACCCTGATCTGGTCATTGGATGCTCAGGCACAGCTGTCACAACAGGTGCCCCAGCGTCTCCCCCTCCACGGCACCGCGTTTGCTCTCCCGAGTTTGTTGTCAGATTCCTCTGGTGGCTTTGCTGTGCCCTGTCCTGCTCTTCCCAGGTTCATAATTGCTTCTGAAATCATCCAGGGCTGGCTGACTCTGCATGTGATAAACCTTCTTCTCAGGCAGCAGTGCTTCCTCCCGGGTTGATGTTCCTCATCCCATCACATGACACCAGTTCATCCATCAGTTTTGGCCGTGGGTTTCTTGCCTGGAACTTTCTCCACCTCGATGCCTCCAGTGACCATTCCTACTGAATGAAATGCCCAACACTGTGTTGCAGGAGATACTTTGGGACCATGCAGGGCTAGAGGCTGATTCCTCCACTAGATCAGATCATCTCCCCCCATGCCAAGCGACAGCAGGAGTCTCCAGTGACTTGAGAATTTCCATGGGCTCTTGTCCAACATTACATTTAACGAGAAAATTCTTCGAAAAATAACTTTTGTGCCCAAAGATATCACCTCCTCACTTTTGTTTCTCTTTAACATCCTTCAGTGGTGGTTTGGGGTTGCCAAAATTGAGTGCAGAACTCTCCCCTCCTGTTCCTCTCCTCTCACTGCAGATTTATACATCCCATTTTCCCACCGAGCTCAGCACTCACTGGGGATATTTTACTGCCCAAAATCCTGTAAGTTCTTCAATTATCAGCTCTGTTCCACTGTGCACTAACCAAGTTTATCTGATACTGCAGCATATCAAACATTTGTAGTTCTGTAACAAAGGTTTTCTTAGCTGGAAGCAAATCCCCTCTGACTTTAAAGTACCTCCAAATAAAGAGACAATTTTATATGATTTTTTCCCCCCATTGTCTTCAAGGAATATATTGTAGGTTGAGGGCAAAATTTATATACTCCAACCTCTTTTATGTTTTGTAGACATCAGAATATAGGGCCTGATTTCCAGAGTGCTATAATCCATCAGTCTCACTGAATTCCAAAAGCTGATGAGGGAGAAACTAGACAAAAAGCCAGCTGGGTAACCTGTATCAATGCCTTGAAGCACTGAAAAGATTGGACCAGTAAAAGCCAAAGATTTCTATAATTTTCCTTCAATAAAATTACAAAGGAGCAAGGAAAACATCAAGCTTTTGATTCACAGAACAAACAGACTCAGTACACTACTAATACCATTTTTTTCTCCCTAAACCCCCACAGTTAGGGGTTAAAACATGTATTTCTATCTTAATTTTCATCCATTTGGGATTGAAGTGTATTTTCTCCCCCTTACTTGAAGCTTCCAGTCCTGCCTTCCCTGTCCTACAACACAGTCCAACACCCCCACAGAAACACCTCCTTGAACTTGAGAACAGATAAAAATCTTCAATGCATTGCCACCATTTTAATGCAATTTATTGCTGAAAACCAAAATCAGAGGCAGTGCCATGTGTTCATCCAGATTTCTATGGGTCACCTACACTTTAAGGAGTTCATCCTCTATGTTGTTACCCTTTACAGTTCTTTGGGTAGGTTAATTATCATGGGGAGCTAAACTGACTTAAATTCTTGCCTGCCTTAAAACTGAATTGATAACTCATCTTTCTCTTCCTTATTCTTCCACTTTTCCCATATTACTTTAAAATAAAGTCGTTTTTGCTGGTTAGTGTGCCCTGACCCCTCCCAGGGTGGGAATTGTCCCAGGCTGGTGTTTGATCACCTGCCAAACCAAAATGGGAGCAGCTCATTTGCTCTGCTGTGGTGCAAATATTCCTGAATTCGGGTACAGAGTGATCTTCAAGAAAACCCAAAACTACAACACATGCAAAGAAACTAAGAGAGGTGAAAAGTGGTTTGGGGAGAACCAACCAGAACAGAAAACCAAGGTGCACAAAACCAGCAATGCAAAGGATGTCAAGGAGAAGAGCTTTGCCACAGCTTTTTTTTTTTTGGTCTTAATTGGTTTTTGGTTTTGGTGGGGTTTTTTTGGTTTTTTTTGGTTTTTTTTTTAGTGGTGGTTGTTTCTTGCGGTTTTATTTTCTTTATCTTTTTCCAATCTCTTTATTTTATGGCTTTACTGAACTTACTTTCTCCAAACTGAAATGGATAAAAGAAATCTCCATTTCTGCCCACCCAGCATTGCTGAAGGGAACGGGACACAATCCCTCCCACAGTTCAAAAAGCAAGAGTTTCAAACCCACTCTCAGTTTCAGCATTTCTAAAGCTATAAAACCTCCACCTTCCATATTATTATTAACCTCTTTTTATTCAATCATCCCAAAAAGGTGGCTGTGTCAGCTGCCCAACCTGAAGTTCAAGACTTTTCTGGGTGAGGAGACATTTTAGAGCATAATAAGTACATAAAATCCTTATCAAAGCTTGGGGGAAGGTTGGAATGACCAGTGGTTATCAGTCAATAATTGTTAGAGCAGCTGATGGACGAGGGGTAACCCTTCCCATGCAATTCTGCTGTGGGAATGAGAAAAGCAGCTGGAAGGAATTCATAACCAGAACCTTGCAGAGCTCAGAGAAATGTGATGTAGAAACAGATTATTATTTCCTGTGGATATTGATGAGAAATGAACTGGATTTGGCGTGTCTGGGAGACATCCCCACACATTTGAAGCCATCCCAGCTCCCTGGGGCTCAAGGTAAAAACCCCTCCTGTAACTGCAGAGAACTTGGGGAAAAGAAAGCACTAAATTATCTGGCTGGCTAGAAATACAGAGGCTGAACATTCCTCTTGCACATTTTTCATTTAATTAGTATTTCCTGCGGGTTTTCAGTGTAATGAGTCATTGATTATTGCGAGGAGTGCTTTGTAGGGTAAATTAATTCATTTAAGAGAAACAGTAAGAAGCGTTAAGTAGCCAGATAAATAAATAAAAGGCAAAGTGTGTGGGTTGCAAGTCAGGCCCAGGGGAGCCCCATTTCTGTAAATCAGCTCCTCAGTGAGCCCACCAATACCTGCCCTCCTCTTTACCTGTACCTACCCTTTCTATAAAATATGAAAAATCCCTGCAGATAAAGCAAATATAACCAAAGCTCAGTTCCTCTGTTGAAAATTACATTCCCTGAGACAAGGTGATAGTTGATTACATGAGAAAATATATGCAAAAAAATGGATTTTCCGTTTAATTTAGAGAAAACTTCTACTTGGTGCATGTCCATTTAGACTAATAAACAGCCTTTTAAAAAAGAAAACAAAGAAGGAAGAGTAAAATAGCTGCATTTATGGTTAAAAAGAAAAAAACTTGATGTTTGGAGGAGCTGATTGTACCTGTGAAATTAATCTTAAAATATGGGCGTGGGACATGACTAAAGATATTTAAGGATATAAAGATATGGCTTTTCACAGTGTTTCCAAAAAGATTAAATTCTCCTGAAAAAGTCATTGAAACAAGAAACATGTTCAGTGCAAACAAAGATGGAAAAGGAGTCACCTTCCTCCTTGGGGCAGCTCTGATTCTTCTTTAGCTGATGTTACCTCACCTAATTATCAATATATTTATGCAGGATGTGGTTTATCCAACCAGTCAGCAAAGAGTAAATGTGCAGCTCGATTGTGAGAATTACATACAGGGCAAAACTACACTAAAAGAAACAACATAATTCCTCCTGACCTTACCCTGACACCAGCCCCACAGCCAACCAACTGGGACCACAAAGGATTTTGCACTAAAATACGTTAGAGTCAGTGCAGTTATAGTTCACAGAGATCCCAAACTCCTTGCAGTGTTAAACTCTATAAATCCAGAGTAAATGTTGCCTCACATTTGGACTGAACACGGAGCTGCAGCATCCATGCCTGTCTTGATGGGTTTTAAATGTTGAGAGGGTTCCCATCGTGCTGTGAAGCCTCATTTTGT